GAATACGTTACCTGTCGTTTGTCTCTCGATTAAGTCGTCCCTCTGTGCGCACCGACAAAGGCATGCCAATTACTTTCGAGTGCGCATCGATAATTCATTGCTATGCTTCCCTTACCCGCGGCTTACGATAATTGCTCTGATTGCTTTACAATACCGAATAAATGCAAATCACGCCCACATGATCGACTTCCGTTTAACGAAATTGAAGATTCGCAGTTTTATCTAAATTTTGTTTAAAAAGATATTTAATTATGAATTATTCAAGTTGTAAAATGTATCATATTGGTTTTAAACTTAGCGGATGTTTCACATTTTCAGTATATTTTATAATGATTGTAATAACATAACTTTGATGGGATTGCAAATAATCGGGAGTTTCTGCGTTTGATGTTCTATTACAACATTTTCTTCGTTCAAATGAGTTTTCAAGTGTTATGGCGCTAAGCGGAAGGCAAACGGAAGCATTTGTTATCAATTAAAACGTAGAAACGCGCGCTATTACGCGGGCAGAATCGTTCTCTCGTTGGCAGATAACAATCTTAACGATATGAGTGGCACAGTGTGCCCGTGCTTAACCGCGCTCGTAAAAGTTACGACCGGCGTATTAAACGATCAATTCGTCTCGAGACAACGTAGATACATTGCTGCAACGCGCTGCACAGCATACAAATCGAGCGTCGCTTGCCGACCGGTGACATCGAATTCGCGAATTGCAGAACGTAATACGCGCATCTACGTGTGAAACTTATTATGTGAACAAAAAATTAGATTCGTACTCGTGATTTGACTATTAACGAGTTTACTTCGCGTTGCGCAACGTGTTTGCTCAGATCCGCCGTTTGAATTCTTCGTGCAGTCGCATTTATGTCAGATGATTTTGCTTCTGCACTACTTTTAGCGCTTAATGGAACATCGCACGCATGCTGCAAATTCGCGGAATCGATGTGACTTAAGAGCATACTGTCCGAATATTCTCATTCACGGAGAATAGACTCACAATTAGAAAAAATATCTGAGAATATTTCAATTTTCTCGTAGAATATTCCTAAAATATATTTTCGGAATATTCTGGCTTTCGGAAAATATTTTTGGGGATACATTGTTGTGTTGAAAAATTATTTTCAGAACATTCTGGTGCTCAGAAAATATTTCTCGAAATAGTTTCGTTCTCGGAATCATTCTTTCGCTAAATTTTCGCCTCACTTTAGTGCTCGAAAGACACATCTCTGTCCGCACTTATTTTCTCTGCAAGACGCGACTGTCGTTTCTGTGGAAGATGTACAAATCGTGATAACTAATGCTCTCGTCGTACGAAGATTTGTGCCGTTTGTCTTGTGGAACGATTCGCGTGGAATATATCGCTCCTAGTGGAGGCTGGTTCGTAAACATTTGACGCAATCTCGACGGCGGTGGTCTCTGCATGTGTCGAACACTTCATTGACGCATCGCTCGCTTTTACTGCAGTGACGTAATATGAACGGCCGCAATGCTTCTCAAC